GCAATGATGACCCTATAGGCAAGGCCATTTTTCCTCTCCCCAGTGAAGGATTCTCCATCCCAGACACAATCAATTAACAAATGGCTTGGCCAGACGCGATCCTAGCAGAGCCTAGACGGGCGAGTTCAGGCCAAATGCCCTTTGCCTATATGTTCATTAGCAACCCATCTCAGCATGCAGGCCAAGCAATATCATGTCCAAGGGGAAACCGCCAAAAATAAGCTCATCTAGGCAACCGAATTCTCTAGCAAACCAGTGGCGCCAAGCTTCCATGCCCCCCGTCCCTAGCGGTTGCTCACACACAAGACTACCCACAAGTATTATCAGATTTTGCGTCGGGCGTTCATCCATGAGCGGCTCATGCGAGTGGGTTCGTGGTCGAACAATAATAGTTTCAGACTGTGGGCCACACGGGGCGCGACCTCAACTTCGCGAGGCTAGGTTATCAAGTATCCTAATGAAATATGTTTGTCACTAACATTGTTTGATCGTCAAGATACACAAAGCAAAGAGATGGTCGAGACGGCTCCTTATCGGCCGGTTACTCCAAGTCCCCTCAGCGCCAACTAACCTCGGTGCTCACCATGCTCGAAGATTCATATACTGACTTTCATGGCATCGGCGACGCTGAGAAAGAGCCTCACACTAACCTCCTTGACACTCTCAAAGCTCTAGCTCCCAGGCAGCCACTTTTGAGCCAATGGCGTTCCCTAGATGCCCAATGGAGAAGAAGAGTGTGTTGATATTCTCCGCTGCGAGAACCGTCCAGCTACCGGTCTAGACCCGATCGTGCATGGAGCTATTTGCCGCAAGGTGAAGTATCTCCATGTGGGCTTCTATGCACTTTCTGCAGGAGAGAGTCGAAGTTGGGCCTCTATTGATCACTAGCTGCTTCACTCATCTCCGACGCTGGTGTCATTCAGCTGATCTGGCAAGGTGCTCAAGCGACTGACCTAAGACATTACACCCCCAGGACCTCCAGTGTTGAATTACAACACAATATCAAAGAAATTAACCAATAATAATCCATAATAACAACCTAAATACTAAATGATAATCATCAATAATTCTCTTATCATTGTGTCTACAATTACTAACAAGAAAATGAGGTCCCTGACTTGCGTGAACAGAGCTTTGGCGTGCAATGTTATATGTCAGTCGTTTGGTACTGCACTGGGGTTGCCCCTGGCCGACTTCGATTTCTTTGGGGATTCGTTTCAGACTCTCGTCCAACACGTGAGTATTTGCCCCTGTCGGCCAGGATGCTTGTTGTTTTCTACATGGAACCAGTTTTCTCAGCTTTCAAATCTCCGCATTCGACGCCTTCACATCCAAATCCCTGTGACTTAACATGCTGGTCCTCTAATGCAGCCTCAGGGGTTGAAGAGCTGTCTCTATTGGTGAAGTTATGTACTTGATCTATTTGAAGAATCCCGCAATGATCGCCTTCGAATGTGAGTTATTCTAGCCTTCGTTTTCATCCTTCATTCACATGAATACCATAAAGGCTTGATCTTTGTCGCAGGATGCACGAGTTACCTAACGAACATTTACATCAGCGAAGGATGAACATGTTTTTTTTTTCCAGGACAACAGCATCAAGGCAGTTCGTACCAACAATTTACTATCACGTTGGCTCATTATCTAGTTCCCTAAGGGCAAATAGGCTACATAAGAAGAGTGTACAACTTTGAAACTTGAAATCAAGCGACGATGATATGCTTGATGTTGGTCTCGAGCACGGCCAGCCACGCTCTCATGTTCTCTCTTTTCCCGCAATCCACAACATGGATTCGACCTGCTTTCACACCGTTCCACATCGGCGCTCATTGAGTATTGCATCTTGTCGGCCGATGCCTTTAATAATCATTGTTTGATCCCTCCGATCTATCATGCCACTCGTCTCTCATTGATCCAGTATCTGAGCAATGGCCGGATGGGAACACACTTTCCCCTCGACGCATCACTCTCTTGTACAGAAGGTCGTTGAGTTGCTTGTCGATCGAGGTTAAAACATCTATCTCTTCCTCCCCGTCGCCAGAGGTCTCATATCGTTCCCGGTTTTGGTCGACCTCTTTAGCCACTTGCTGAATCCTGGAAAGCAAGAAGCGGCTGTAGTAGGCCATTCGGTCGGGCTTCTCCACGCGTGGCATAGGGCTCAGATGGCCCGATCGTCTCGACACAGCTCTCGAGCCTCGATATCGAGGGCTCCAAGCCGTCCGCTGCCCAGCGCGTCGTGCCGTGGCATTTATCAATGCCTGTGAGCTTTCTCGCTCCAGGGCCATCTGATCGCCCCTTAGCAAGTCACCTGACTCGCTCTCCGCTGTCGATCTGGATACGTGTCGAGCTATTCCATGAGCACTCTCCGAATGATCGGGATCGGGTGATGAAGCCCTTGACTGGCAAGGTGACTGCCAATCTGTTGATGCTTGTCTCCCGGAGGCATGCGCATCGGCTTGGCGAGATACATTCTCGCTCAAAGGAGTCGGGGGAACCGCAGTGCTCCCTCTGCTCTCCACAGAGTACTGCAACTCGTACGTGCTTTCTCTTGCACGTTGAGGCAGGCTATAGGAATTAGCAGGGGTCCAAGGCGAGCCAAGAGTGATCCGAGGCAGAGACGAAGCCTCCTGCTCCGCGCTTTGGTAGCGAGGCCCTGGGGAGGTCGAAGGAACGGCAAGCACGTCCTCCAATCGCCTTTTCGATTCTCGCAGTTCGCTTATGTCTCTTTCTATCGAGTCCATAATAGCAGAAGGGGTGTTTGCTCTAGAGTTGGCCATGATTTCCAGTAGCGGCCCAAGTCGGAGTGGCAGTTATTGATAGATCAAATCAAGTTAAGTGGGAGTTTGATGCAAGCAAAGATCAAATCTGGGAATATATGTTGAATTTATACCAGCAACCAGAATGTCGGAGTTTGTGCATTATATCTCTGTCATGAGGTAAAACAATGCATCTTCTTCAGAAAGACTCTGGGTTTGTTATCCAAACTGGCGCAGCGCAGAAGAATATCTGTCTTTGTATTTCTGGCTACCCCAGCTCAAGCAACTCTGAGCAAACCTTCCTGCAACTATACCACTAAGGGGAGTAGATATTTTAAGCTCCCGTTTAAGTCCTCCGTGCAAGACTATGGTGCTGGGCTTACATACTGGGTGGATTGTTGTTGGGCCTTTGTCTGCTCTAGATTCCGAGGGGTCGTAGGTTGGCCAGTCGCCAATGTCTGACGGACGCCCTTTGTCTTTTTCCATTTGGAATCAGGCCTAAGTAGATGCGAAATGAAATTGACGCCGTATCAGGTCACTTTCAGGGTGGTGTTAGCCAAAACCACTCTATCATTCCCTTGTTTACCCACAGTGCTGTCAAGGCTGGGTCTTGCAGGAGGGTAGGGTATACGAGGCAAAATTTGCCGACGGAGAGACTTGACATCATGAGCGCTTCAGCCTTAGACGCAGTCACTAGACAAACATTTTCAAACTCATCGGGCCCAGCCATTCTCAATATCGACAGGCATTCGAGTAACTGGTAACCAAATGCCACGCGACAAACGTCTTATTGCACGCCAAGAATGGTGACTCTGGAGCAACAAAGGACACCCTAACTAAGGTCGAATTGACAATTAATGGAAGATCTAACCAGGCACATCGGTAGGAACACTATGATTTCCTTGGCCGCACATTGGTGTCATGATGGTAGCCACATTACTTCGACTTATTCATGGCGGGCGGACAGACCGACTCTCTCGGCTCATTAGGGGGAATGACCTTTTCGAGAAGGCGCCCACCGCTACAATCGCCTACAACGAATCAAATAGAAGCAGACTATTTTCCATCAAGAACTGCCCCCCCGGAGTTGTCAATTGTGGGAAGTGTTGGTCCAGAACGCATCAACAACACATCAAATCCGACTCATCCGATCCGATTTCACCAACAGGGCTAGTCGCCGCGGATGCGGTAGAGTCTTTACTAGCAAGGATCATCAAACGAGACTGCTTGAGGCGATTACGATGGACGATGACAAGGATCCAGAGGTATCGAAAGAAATACGCGTTAAGTAATTCGAAGATGCGGTAGTCACCGGAGATGAAGTACTAGCTGGGTGCGATTTCGTCAACAAAGTCGGTAACCCAGAAGAGCACCATGGCCAGATCTCACTAAAGGGGGACGTCGAATCATTGAGTAAAGCGGAAGTCAAAGTCGACTCATCGTAGAGAATGAAGAGCGTAGCGGAAGGACTTCGCGACATCACTTAGTCTAGTTGAAAAGGAGAAGGGAGAGTTGACTTGAACTGAAGAAGCAGATCAATCAAAAAGCCCAAATCATCGTCAAGAAATCCGAGGAAACCCAGGAACTCGAGATGACGGTTAATTTGCTTCTTCTCAATTTAAGATATAGTAATATGAAATTTCAGCTGTTCAACCAGTCCAGAGGATATATTCATAAAATAAACAGGTAGTCTTTAGCTGCAGCTCCAAGAGCACAAGTATAGAAAGTTGCTACGAGGCCGAACACTGTGCAGCTTGCTTCTGCCTTGACATTGGACTCCGTAGCTATTAATACTAGCCCTTAGAGTGGCCCTGGTGACCCAGCACCAGATGATTTTGCGCTCGTGTGGCAGCCTTCATACAAACCAGAAAACTGTAAGGGGAAAGTTCTCCCCTTCCTCACCCTCCTCACTAGCCTCTCACCGCTTTCAGGTGGGAGCTACTTCCATGATAATTACTCTAGTATCAAAAAGAAAGTTCTTCCCGCCACCTCCTGTTCAACGCAAGTTTAATTAAAAGCAGACAGCTTGCCTCCCCATCGGTTTATACCCGCTCTCATCAACACTTCGATTTAAATCACGAGGACTTATCACCTACACATCGCATCATCCAAGTTGCATAAATGCTATCCAAGATTGAGACTTTAGGTCCGGAGCTGCTGAGGACGATCGCCACATCATGTGATAAGAAAACGCTTGACGCTTTTGCTTCAACATCATCTCACATCAGACTCCCACTGATAGACGTGATTCAAAAGCGTGTTAAAATCCACGGTGGACCAAAGGCTGTCTCACGGCAGCTTAACGATTTTTTAAGCTCTCTCAAAACTCCTACCCGCATAATGCCATACAGTACCGTCCGGTATGATTATGCGAAAATCAATTAGATTCGTGCCATAACTAATTTTGATAGATCTGTATCCCTCGTGATAGATTACAAGGAAAAAGACGAGTCGTGGTCGACAGTATTTTCGGACCCCTTGCCATTGGCCACCTGTCTACCGCTACAAATCTTTGATGCCATCCGGGCCATGTGCAATCTCCGGTCATTAACTTTGATCATAGACAAGTTGAATGAACGCCAAGAAAGCCTTTTTTATGGGCTGTTACAAAACATCAAGATCCAAGCTGAATATCTACAAATCTCTGCCTCAGATCGTATCACTAGGCGAGTTCTTGAGAACAGTCCTCAGCTTCAAGCACTTCATCTCCCAGAAACGATCGACATAACCAAGTTTGAGCCTGTAGTCGGGAGACTCAGACGATTATGCGCAGTTGTCGGCCCTGTGAAATCCAGTGGCCGTATCCAATTTCCGACAATCAACGAAGTAAATCTGATCAGGATTGCGTCACGGTATCAAAACCTTGAGGAGCTTGTCCTTCATACGGTTTATGAGAATTACGGAGATGAGGATTCTGCCGTGATGTTCGCCTTCGTAAGTGCCAAATCACCCAGCTGCTTGAACTGGGGAAAATGCGCTGACCATCCACTGAAAAAAATCAGGAAAAGAATTTCGCCAAGGCCATCAACGTCTTCAGAAGTATGCCAGGGCTGAAGCGCCTTGCCATCAACATTGACGAGGACACGGCTCGGACATTTGGTAATACCTCTGTGCAGGAGGATCGATTCTACATAGACCGTCTTCTCCGGCTGGCAACTTGCCTCCCCCGCCTTGTTCAAATTGGCATCACCAACGACATGGATCGATACTGGACGGTTACCAAGACATCGTACGGTGAGCTGACGATCGGCCGAGGGGCTTTCAGTTTCCAAGATGTAGGTTTTCCAGAATCAGTCAACGAGCGCTTCTACTGAAGACTCGTGGGTCATTGGCCATGCTGGTAATCGGTCCCGATGGGACCTGTTTCCCCGCCGATTCACCAGACCTTGGGTGGTGAGCCAATCCCACAGTATACTTATTTGCGGTGCTTCAAGGAGTTTGTATAATCTAGCCTCAGGCTTTATTTCTCGGGATGATGCTTGAAAGCTACGGGGTTAGATCATGGCCTCGGGCATGGGCTTCTTTCCACCATCGATCACGAGTCGGCCCCTTCAAAAGCAACGGATTAGATGTGTTGCTTGCCCGAGTATGGGTAATGGATTGAATTTTGGGCAATGGGGGGCTAATAAAAGGGGAGATCAGTGAAGAATAAGGTGGTTACCACGAAATTATCTACGTTGCTTGAGGAATTGAAACATGACTACCACATCCGATCGCTGCTGCTGTGACACCTCCCGTCGGCTTCTGTGTAACCTCGCCATTCTAGGTCTTTAACTCATATGGCTTGAAATGGGATATCCTTGCAAAGGGCGGAAGTGGGGGGATCAATCAAATGTCTCCGTCACACGCCAATTACACAAGTCACGGCGGTGCTGGCCCAGGCAGACTCCCATCAGCCAAATATGGGCTCTCACTGTAATTGAAGTAGTTTATTCCTCACAAAAGCTATAGTAGGAACATCTCCTATCGCTATGAAGCAAACCCGCACATGCCAGTGCCGCTTTCTCCCGGTGATGCTGCGCTAACATGCCGTACCAAACTCCATGCCTACAAACACCAAGACTCGACTCAATGCCGCCCAAACCGTTTTTATGCTCCATAACATGAAATGAGAAAATCAAGATCAAGCATCAAACTACCTTAGAAACCCCCCAAACGAGAAAAAAGAACACTGCTTCAAGCTTCCAAGGCATGTCACAATGCCAGGTCCAACATCCCCTCCCCAATCAGTTCTTGCAGAACCAGAGGCAGACAACCGGCTTCTCGCCATCACGGCCGGAGCGGGTCTTGTCCCACCCGACGTCCTTGATCGTCTTCTTCAGCATGTCCTTGTCGGCGCCGCTGAACGAGATGCCCTTGTACCACTTGCCGTTCCCGCCGGCGACGACCTCCACGCACCGGTTCTTCTTGGGCGTCTCGTTGGTGCAGCCGAAGCCCTTGAGCAGCTCGCTGAGCAGCGTGTTGCAGGGGATGTGCGCCGCCTTGAAGCTGACGGAGGCGTTGGCGGGCAGCTGCCAGGGGGGCGTCTCCGAGTAGAAGATGTGGCACTTGGTGGTCTCGGCGGGGAAGAAGAAGTTGTAGCCCGGCTCGCAGCCGACCCCCCCGGTTGAGTTGGTCATCTGCGCTGCTGGCATGTGCGGATCGATGTTGGGGTAGGCGTGGGGTGGCCGCCAAACACCCGCATACTGGACGGCGGGAGTGAGGCTGCCCACGCCTCCGTAGGTCCAGACGTTGCTGAACACCGCCTGCCCGGGGCCAGCGCCCATATGCGGGATGTACGCCTCGCCATTGACGGCTACTGGCGCACCGTAGGGGGCCAGAGGAGGTCGCTGGCCGGAGCCCATTGCGTCACGGCCAGTCACGGGATTCCAGCCGCCAGACATGGTATCAGCTGGAGACTTGAGAAAGTGAGAGCAGACACAAGGCCGGCTCAAGGGACTTGTGATGAAGGCTAATCGGCCTGCCAGGTATGAACCCAACGACCTAGGGTGTGATCAAAAGATGCCAGCCAGTGACCAGGGGCTGGGCCGTAAGAGGTGGGATTCCAGTACCCCAAGCTGCCAGCCAAAGCGAGATTATGGGGGTTTGGAGGAGAGGCCCAAATCTGGGGTGGATGGAAGGGGGCAGCTGAAGGTCCGGACTGGCTGTCAGTCCTTGGAGCTGAGTATCGAGCTGGTTCCGCGATGGCGGCGGTCGGTGCCTCGAATTCGGACGTAGAATCCTCTGTGTAGAAGTCAGTACTCAGGTTCTTGGCATCACACGAAGGATAAGATACATTCCATCCTCAGGTCCTCGAGTGAAAGAACAGGGATAGAAGTACAATATCCCAGGTAATTCAGTAGACTCACCCGATGACGACTCCCACTCGCTCTCTCCCTCGCTAGAGTCGTCGGACTCAAGCTGAATGTCAAGATGCGCGACAAAGAGCTCAGTGCTCCAGATCGTATTGCCGAGCTGGTCAAAAAAGGCACCAACTACGATCAACGCCCAAAATGGGGGATCAGAAGAAGCCTCGAGATATTGAGTGATGACAAGTTTCGTGGCTGGGTAAGGAAGAAAGTCCCCGTCAACTTCAACAATGCGGTGATCTGCTGATGATGACCTGGATGACATGAAAGAAAATCCTGAGAATAAGAGTAGAGATATAAAGACAATGGGTAGAATCTGTTGGAATAGTGAGTTGAAAGGGCAATGTCCTGTGATAGGACTCAACCCATTGTTCTCATCTTTATAGTTGAAGCGACGCCTTGATTCACTGTCAATATGGAATCGGATGACCCACGGTGTGTTGTTAGAGCTTCACAGCCATGTTCAAGCTTGCGCCCATCGTTGCCACCCCTCTGGTGGTGACCAGATAGGGTTCTGAAGGGTCTCGATAATCTCGCAAATCCGAAAACTCAACGGCCGCTTCTACCCCTTGGCCATGGAAACGTGGCAGGGCAGACCATTCTCGATGCAATCTGGTTGCCACAAGGGCTCATTGCGATAACTGTAAACCAATCCCCGTGCTCAGACTTCAGACGAACGTCTGTGAATCACGTACGCTGAAGTCCCAGCATCGAACACGACCCGACACAGCAGGATGCATAATGCAGGCGTCCGTCGAGTCAGAGAGAGTTTCGACGGGATTGTCGAAAACGAAAACTTTGCTTTATCCCACACCCTATGTGTCAACCACGGCGCATTTCACCTTTATTCATCATCGTCACTGTCGTCGGCCACGACCCGCACCCCGCCAGTCATCTTGACTGAGTCCATGTTGCCAGTCATAGTTATAGGCTTGGAGCTGCCCACTGGAGCAGTGATGCCGGAGGCGTCCTTTCCAGATTGCTTCAGCCGCGCAACTTCGCCCACCAGACCCTTGAGGTAGACCTCGGCCTGGACGGTGGCACTGTACGCCGCCGGAGTCCAATTCCACACGTTGCGCCGCTCCACGTCCGCGCCCGCCGCCAGCAGCGTGCGCAAGACGAGGAGGTTCCCGTTCCCGCTTGCAAGGTGCAGCGCAGTGTTCCCCTCGATGTCTGCTCGATGGACGGCCTCGGCTGCGCCGCCGGGCACATATGTGAGGAGGAGCTGGAGCACGGTGTCGTGGCCGCCAGCGCTGGCCTCCATGATTGGGTCACGGCCCTTGTTATCTCGGCGGAGTATGCAGGAGCTATCGTTTTCGCATATCAGGTGGACGACTTCGGTGTGGCCAGCTTTGGCGGCGAGCAGGAGGGCGCTCTGGTTGAGCTCGTTCAGCGCGGGGCAGGGTTTCTCGTGGCCGGCTTCGATCAGGACCTGGCAGACCTCGCGATAGCCCAAGGAGGCGGCGAGATGCAGGTTCGAGTTGGACAGGCCCTCGGAGGAGGCGTCTGGGTTGTGGATGAGGTTCGGGTGGGATTTGAGCATGCGCTTGACGAGCAGGGCATCGTTGGCGTAGATGGCTCGCCGGAGCCGGACTGGGAGCGAGACAGGTCAGCAGAGGAGCGGCAGAGGGCATCTAGATCCAGAGAGCTTACAGGGCGGTTTATGCTGCATGGCGAGAGTGGTGTTCGCAAGCCTCCGATGAAGAGCGCAGGCAGGATGAAGGGGCAAGCTGTCGAGAGAGCAGGATGGATTGTTGATCTGGGCTTATCGCAGCTCGGCGCAGCGTAATGTCGCGCCTGTAGTGGAGAGTGGCCCTGGCCTGGTGCTTGTGCCAGCGGTTTAGCGGCCCAGCGCGGGGTGCTTCAGATCGGGTCCACCCGCCCCCCCAAGTTTCAAATCAGTGACGGCTTGACCTTCTCCGCAGCACCAAAAAAACATCTCCAAGTTCTGCATCGATCGACCTACCCTGTACGTGGATGCAAGGAAATGTTCGCGACGTGAACGTTTTCTATTCGTTTATAAGACCCAATTAATTGACTATTAATTAAGGTACAGTGCACAGCGCACGATCCAATATTACAGGCCAACTCGAAAAATTGATCCAGGCCCCGGTTCAATCCAGCTCATGAGCCGCCTTCACAGCCTTGGACTTTCCAGCATCGAGGACCACAGCGGGATCCTCCTTGCTCCCCTTGCGCGACACTTCATTGCCACGTTTGGTTTTGACAGTCGCTCTGGGTGATTGGTTAGCGACACGTCTTGTTTCGAGATAGACGAGATTCAATTGACTCACTTTTCCTCCTTGACGTCGAGAACTTTGCCTTCGGGATGGCCTCCTCCCCACTTCCAGCTCACCGTGTCACCTGGATCAGGTCCATTTTTAGCTGATTTACCTGAGCCATTGGCCTTCTTCCCACCGTCGTCTTCGTTGTTCTTGCCATCATCACCTTCTTCCTCATCCTCGCCGTCGTCCTCGCCGTCGTCTTCAGCGCGCTTCTTGGTGCCCTTCCCGTTGGACTGCTGTTGGGCATCATCATCTGCAACGTCTTCACCATCTTCGTCCTCATCAGCAGCATCATCTTTGTCCGATTTCTTGCCGTGGCCACCAGCTCCTCCTTGACGGGTCTCACGCTTCTTTTTTGAACCCTTTTGCGCTTTGGCTGATTGCTTTCGCTTGTCGCCGGCATGCTTATCACCCTCGTCCTCGCCTGCCTCCTCGCCTTTCTCATCCTCGCCTTCATTCTTCGCCTCCTCGTCCTCGTCATGGGCATCTTCCTCTTCATCCTTGTTGTCGTTCTCTTTTCCCTTGAGGAAGTCGTGTCCCCAATTCTTCAAGGACGCGTAAGACTTAGTCTTCTTCACTTCCTCGGCCGACTTTTCTTTGTTCGTCTTCTCCTCCTGTGCCAGATGTCGTTTGCTAATACACCATGTCAGACATCGGCATCCTCTCACATCAATAGCATGGTGATAGGAATGACCACGAACCAGTACGAAACGACCTTGCGCATATGCTCAATATGATCCTCATTGTACTTCTTAGGGTCCTTTTTGGGATTGGCCCGAAGAATCTCTACAATCTTGCGGCCACTGTCGTGGCCAACTGACTCGCCGGAGGTATCTTCCTTTGGCCAACCTGCGCTGTTTGAGTCGCCCGACTTGAGCCACTTCTCGAGCTCAGAGGCTGTCATGTTGACGAGCTCGTTGAACTCTTGGACCACCTGGCTGTTGTTCTTCATGATGCGATGATGTGACACTTGGCCTCAGTTGCTTGATGAGTGTTCTAATTCAACTGTCAGATTATACGAGAGCCGGATTGAACGCGACGAAATATGCAGATTGCTAAAACATTCTGGATACAGCTTCCCTGTCATTCTTATACCATTGACCTATTGCTAATCGCGGCCGGCCGAGGTGTCGTCGTCATGGTGTCTCAAGGACTTCGGGTAGATCGTCGCGTCATAGAAGGCCAAGAGCCATCACCGGCAAATTAAGCTTTGGTTCCTTGCGGCTGCGGTCCCACAAGGCCGATCGCGGCAGAGCTTGAGATCGATCAGCAACATAACTGACTGATCTAATTAGTTACCCTTTTCGATCATCGAGAGACTAGAAAGGGAGAATGGTGGGGGGTACCTGGTTTTAGCTCTGCGAGATGCGGAAGAGCAAAGATCCTCGCCCACAATGCATAGGGAACGGTGGCCCCGTTGCCTAACGTTGGTTGCACCAAGACAGTGACGTCTTTGTGAGGTATATGACAGTCGGGACCCTGTCCTGAGAGTCTCTACGCGAATTGCCCAGCACCCACGAGATGGAGGCTGAGGACAAGGCTGGATCGGGGAAGGGTCGGGTAGATACATTTGTCTATCTTGTAGCCACGCTACTTCTTCCCCTGATACGATTGCCCGTACCTAGTTAACCAATTTGGGTATGAGTCTCGCCTACTGTCCCTTCCCTCGCTTAGCTAGTCAGCTAGAGGAGCTGTGTCCGGAGCACGCTTGGAAACAGATCCAACGTGTCCAGAAGAATGACTGGTATGATCCTCGTGTTCGATTCATAAAACTGATACTACTGGTATCCCTCGTTTCCTTTCCTTTGAAGGTAGACTGCAGGTAAATTCGATCCACCCTTTATTTAGGTATAGTTGCCATGGTATACGAGAAGCTTAATGCATAGCTGTTTCGAAGAATGCAAGTTTGACTTGAGCCATACCGCATCGTGAGAAGCGGCAGTCATGGTGAACCCTATCCTCAAAGGCCACATTGCCTTTCGAAGCCATATTTATACATGATTCCTATTCAGGCTCGCCATTCCATGCCAACAGAGCAGAGGTATAGCTTGAAACTCGGTCATCATGCTTGGTCGCGTGTTGTTGCGCCTTCTACTGGTGGCACATGTTGCCCTCGCTGGGAAGTGGCAAGAAGGTGATTATATGCACAGAAAGACCATCAAATGGCCTAAAACCGCCTTGGGAGTCGCCCCACCCACCGGAAAAGGCGTGTTATGGGAGGATTTCGACCCCAAGTCACCCTTTCTTAAGAAAACAATTGTAAACATCACCTGGTTGCAGGTGCCCACGAACTCATCCCGGATCGTGGAACGGGCTTTTATTAAAGTTTCTCTGAATCACTGGCACCCGAGGGGCCTCCGGCGCATCGTTGATAGGAACGGAGAATGGCCGGCAGGCTTCACCCTACCGTTGATTCGCATGCGGGGCAAGGAAGCCCACGGCACCAGCAATATTCTGGTCCTCCCGGACGGGCCAGGAGTCCCGGGGACGAAGATGATCGAGGAACGAGGCGATGAGATGTTCCCGTTTGTCGGGGAAAAGTACAACCTGGTCAGCTTCGACGCTCGTGGCGTGGGAGGGTCCGACCCGGCGATCCGGTGCGGTCGTCACACTGGGCGCTTCTTCCCCAAGAAATTCTACACCGAACAGTATAAAGATATCTATCACGACGCCAAATTGTTCATGGGGATATGCAGGTTAGGCGGGAAGCATCACCTTTACGTCAACACGCCGCAGGTTGTTGAAGACATCCACACCATTATGTACGGCCTAGGACAGGTCAAAGCGCACCTCTGGGGGTTCGGCTATGGCACCATCGTGGCCCAGTCCTACGCCATGAGGTTCCCTGAATTGGTCGGCAGGATGGTCTTTGACGGTGTCTCTGATATGGATCAATGGTACCTGAGGAAGTACCACGAAACGCGATATCAAGATACAGATGCCGTGTTTCAGTATATGCTCCAAGACTGTATCGACTTGGGGAGCGACTGCGCCCTCTCCAAGTTCGGGGATAACTCACACAGTTTGAAGACTGCGATCCTGACCTTTGGCAAAAGGCTCTCCCTGGGAAACTACCGGTTTGCGGAGGATGCCAACTTCACCTACAACCATATGCTCATATGGATATACGGGAGCCTGGGCAGCAGAGCAAAGTTCTTGGAGATGGCTCGACATCTCGCCCGGTACATGGAGAGAGACATTGGCGACTCGCCCTTGGCCATCGACGCTCCAGACACTGGGTTCCGCCGAGAATCGGATGCCGCATTCTTCTTCATGTGCAATGATGGGAGGAGGAGGGGCAAGCAGTTCTCGAAAGACGATTATCCGAAAAGCCAGGAGAAGTTGAACGAGGAGATGGCGCCGTTCCTTAACAGCTCGTTGTTCGGCATACACTCGTTGCCGATTTACCACTTAAAGCGGTTCTGCACCGCCCAGTTGGATTTGAGGGGCTTCCCGTACAACTATGATATAAAGCCGATTGTTCATACCGCCGTCCCCCCGCTCCTGATGACGAATACCATGGATCCGTTCACGCCAATCAGCTCGACCAAGTCCGCCAAAATTAGATGGCCAAACTCCAAAGTTGTCCAACTCACCACGTACGGGCACCTCACTATCGACATGGCGTCGACATGCACCAAGAGGTATCTTCGGAATTACTGGATGAGGGGAATCTTGCCCGAGAATGATGTGCTGTGCAACGCGGGGCAAAGACCCCCCCCAAAATGGAAGAAGAAGAAGAAGGGGGGGAAGAAGAAGGGGGACAAGAAGGGTGATCGGTTTGATACAGAGGCTGACCCTTCTCAATCTGATACAGAGGATAATTCTTATCGATCTGATGTAGAGGATGACCCTTCTCCATCTGATACAGAGGATAAAGCTTCTCGATCTGATACAGAGGGTGGCCCTTCTCGATCTGATGCAGAGGCCGATTAACATCAATGCCTCGCCCTAATTGGAGATTTTTGAGATTGCGATGTCTGTGTTCAGGTTATTGGCGCAAACTTTGATGAATTTTCTGTATTTACCAGGCTTGTTTGTGTGATAAAGTCAAATGCGTTGCTCGATCTCCGGATATCGTTTCCTTTGCTTACAGCTAGTAATAGTTAATTAATATTAATATACGAATATGTAATTACGGCCATTGTCATGCACCAAATCCCCTCTTCACCGAACCGAAGGGACATCACCATATTTGGATTGATCCCTGGCTTCTGATAAACTCCTCGCGCCGTTGCTCCCACACCCGCCACTTGCTTCGCAAATCAGCCATTACCGAAGACACAAACCAACACCCCTAACGAACCACTTGCCGGAGGCCGTTGGAGACAAATCAAGATGGATTGCGGCACACGGCCTCGATGTTGTTCCCAGCGGCATCGAGGACGAAGGCGCCGTAGTAGTCGGGGTGGTAGTGGGCTCGGAGACCCGGTGCGCCGTTGTCCTTGGCCCCGGCCTTGAGGGCGGCGGCGTGGAAGGCATCCACAGTGGCACGGTCTAGGTTCCATTGTTAGTCAGTATGTCTCCCCTTTTGCTCCTTCTTTTGATCCATCTGACTGACCCTTGGCGCGGAAGGCAATGTGGGAGGGGCGGTTGGGCGGGTTGTCGACGCCGATGAGCCAGAAGTCGGGGGTCTCGTCGGTGTTTGCTGGGCCCAGGCCCGTGACGGTTGGCCCGAATTGGAGTCTGATGCCGTAGCCGAGGGGGGCCAGGGCGGCGAGGTACATCTCGAGGGCGCTGGCGACGTCGCTCTCGGGGACGAGGAGGCTTACGTGGTCCAGAGGCATGGTGTTGGTGATGGGGGAGTATTCAAGAAAGAGTCAATTGAATAGTCTGATGAGATTGAGCATCTTGAGACTACCGACGAAGCTCCAGCTCTTTATACTGCATGGCGGACTCATATTTCCCAGAGAGTTTCGCTAGTTCGTGCTCACGAATTCTGGATTTGTGAGGCGGCGTCTGTCTCTGGACTAAAGTTCACGGCAATGGTGAAGCTGAGAGTGAGAGGAGTAAGTTGACTAAAATAACCGAACTACAATGATGGTATATTCTCAGAGAGCTGATCAGCCAATATTGTCAGCTCCCAGTTTCAGCCGCACGCCGGATCATTTAGGTGAAGTATGTCACAATATTAGATCACCTTGCCACTCTCAGCTTGGCTATTCTTTTATTCTGCTGGCTAGTAGTCGGTAATAGGTGATCTCTCACCCGACTAATGCAACTTGCCAGTAAAAGATGCTCGAGCTGGAAGTAGCCGAGCCTTCGATCAGACCACCGGCTGTGACTCTTAACTTGGAGCAGCTGGGGTGATTTACCGCCATTATAATTCCGAACACAAGATTAGTCAAGTATGTATGCCTTGGAGCAGTAGAAAATTCTGTCAGTATGCCAATCCAATTGATGCAAATCGTTGGTGTTGCTTGCCTGGGGTGGTATTTTCTCGTGTAAAACTGTTCTAGCAGGGTTGGCCTTTGCTTCCGATGCAAGGGATTTCTGTTTCATGATGAGCATCCAACTGTTCAAGCCTGAGTCAGTTACCTCGAGGAGCCGGAGACTGGAAGGGACAAAAGTGTTAGTACTGGAGAGGCAAAGGCAGCGAGAAAAGGACGATCGACTGCCGATTCGACGACACCTGAAACACACTGCCAAGCCGGTAGTTCTGCCAAGGGAAACACCCGTATTCTGCAAATTCTGGGGTCGGTCCATCTCCCTGCAGACTCTCAAACACCACCAAGTGGGTAGACGCAAAAAGACGTCGAACCCTCCTCATAAGGCTGCCGAAAGCATGATGCCAAGGACAGCACTATTCCTCTATCAATCGCACCTTGCGAGCGTTGAAACGACTTGCAATAACCTTAACCACCCACAGAGGTCAAGTTGCTTTTGATGGGTGCAGGCGACACCAATCGTCTGCAGATTTTTCCGAATCACTTACTCGATTTGGAGATGTTCACGACTCCTGGGACGTTGAACGACTGACTAGCATCGAGATGCCGAGGCTCGCGATGGCCTCTTGTACTGGGAGGCCAAACAACCGCTTCGTCTGGGCGCGAGGCCGTAGCCTTCAGCCAGACATGGGCCTCGGCATACTCGTCGCCAGCGATGGCATTCACGTATATAATAACTGTCAGGTCGAAGCATCATCTTGGACTTGGCTCATCATTCACATCTCAACCAAAAAGGCCAACTTGAAGCCCGCCGATCTACGCTGGACGTCCCTCTCTTCACTTCACACCACTACATTCGTTTCTATCAATCACCATGAAGTTCCTCGCTGCCCTCACAGCTTTCGCTTGCCTCGCTGCTGCGGCTCCCGCAGAGCTTGACACCCGCCAGCTTGGCTCCAGCACCGCCACCGATCTCGAGAAAGGCCAGAGCAGCAACTGCCCTTCTGCCATTCTCATCTTCGCTCGCGGCTCAACTGAGACCGGAAACATGGTATGCTCGCTCGCTCGCGCTTAGGATCATCCTCGAAGACGCTGGGTGTGAGACTCTGTATCTAACTGCGTACTGAATAGGGCATGAGTGTTGGTACCTCCCTCTCGGGAGCTCTCAAGAAGAAGGTCAGCGGCATTTGGATCCAGGGCGTCGGCGGTCCCTACACTGCTGGCCTTGGCGATAACGCTCTGCCTCGAGGCTCCAGCGCCGCCGCCATCAAGGAGGGTGTTCGCCTGATGAACCTCGCCCACGAGAAGTGCCCCAACGCGGCAATCCTGACCGGAGGATACAGGTAAGTGAAACTGCTATTCCCTAGAACCTCCGATGTGCTTCAGTAGACTAACGAATCCTGTGCCCATCAGCCAAGGAAGCGCCCTCATTGCGGCAGCCATCACGGACTTGGACGCTACAGTGCGTGAGCAGGTCAAGGGCGCTGCTCTGTTCGGGTACACCCAGAACAAGCAGAACAAGGGCCAGATCCCCAGCTTCCCCGCCGACAGGACCAAGGTCTTCTGCGCTTCCGGCGATCTGGTCTGCGAGGGCAGCCTCGTCGTCGCCGCTCCGCACTTCACCTACGGCAGTTCCGCCAGCGGCGAGGGCGCCGATTTCCTCGCTGGCAAGGTCTCTAGCTAAGCACCCAGCCCATGGCAAGTAGTGTTTGGATGAACAATCGTGGGTGACAAGGTGATGGCCGCTGGATGAAGGCTCTGGCAGCATTCTCTGGTGGACCATCTTGAGTATGGGGGAGCAACTATGTCTTACACTCGTTTCTTGGAATTGGCCATTCCATGATTAGGATAGTTGTTGGAAGTTTTGAGATGAAAATAGAAACGTTTGAGCTCACACATGGCAAACCCTTGCACCCGTTCCTTTGAAACTCGTGACGTATATCAGAGGCCCATTTCTTGCATGAAACGCGGAACTCCTGGGTCCGGTATTCTGTTTTGTATCCTGGCGAGCTTTGGAGGCCCTCGTATCGGATCAGTTTGATGGCTCCCAGTGGAGTGACCGGAGGATTTGCGATCGGCAAGACCAGTGCCGCGGGACACAGACAGGGTGAGTCCTTCGCGATTTTAGTGCCCCTGATGTGGGAGAGGCTGGGGAGGAAGATGCAGTATTGACTATTGAGCTTCTTGTAGATGTAGAGAGGGAATATTTACAGAGCTGGATCGTAGGAGGCGCCCCCATCGGCGACACCACCCAGCCCATGAAGGCTACATTGGTGGTAGATATCAATATCTCTGAGTCACACCCCAATGAAGCAGAGACCAACCCTCTAGCTATGCATTTTAGCGAGATTGACTTGCTGTTGAAATATGCTGATATGTCCCATGATGAGAAGGAGAATGAGCTTGAAGCAGATCGGCCCATGGAAGAGGGCGAGCTGACCCCTGGATTGAGCGGCTGTGTGAAGGCTGGCCGGCGCGATCCCTTTGAGTAATGGGCGACTAGAATCCTTTTCATTCAGTCAGCATTCTCGTAGAAACTGGGATTCTATTTATCTGGAACAAAAATTTCCTCGAAGATGCTTGAGGTGGAATGGGGGAGGGCATTCTGCTGCTCAGCCAGCCGGATCCTGCTACCCATCGGATCTTCCAATGCCACGGCACCTTAATCGCATGAATGCTACTCAGGAATTGAACATATTGAGAAATTACAAAGGAATGTATCATTTGTTTGTCAGGGCTCGGGCGTGTTCTGTCCTGGCCTGGAATATACCGCCGAGTGGGATGTAAAGTGGGATGCGGGTGGGATGCAGAGATGCCCTCAATTATTCACCAACGCCTCTTGACTAAGCTCTCGATTGTTCGGTTTAGCTGATTGTATCAAATAAAAACAAACACCAACGTCTTCTACGAGTGGTGATTGAACTGAGTTTGTTAAAAAATCAAAAAAAAAATCAAAAAAAAAAGCTCAGAGTCCCCTCAACCGCGAGCAGCATGGCAACGACACTCGATTCCACATTATTCTACCTGTTAGACGAGGCCAGTCGCCGTCACTCGCACGACGACAGTGATGACGATGAGCATGAAAACGCTTCCTCATTCTTCCAGCACTATAAATCCCACCTGGACCATCTCGACGTCTCATCCAAGTACAGGCTTCTGCACCAGCTGCTCTGCGTCCGACCACCGAACCCGCGTTTCCCCGACGAGGTTCTCCAACACCTCGACTCAATTTTCAATGGCAAGAAGTCCAGCCGCATTCTCATTCAGTCACAGTTTCTTCCTCCCATCAGAGTCTTCAAGCGGAACCCTCGGCCGGACGTTAAAGTCACACTCTGGAGAGGAGACATTACCACTTTGGTCGGGGTCACAGCGATTACAAATGCAGCTAACGGCCAGATGCTCGGATGTTTCCAGCCGTCGCACAAGTGTATTGACAATGTGATTCACTCATGGGCGGGTCCCCGTCTAAGGGATGAATGCTTCGATACAATGAACAATGCCAGAGGTGGAATGGACGTACCGCCGGGCGAGGCGATTGTAACAAAGGGATACGCGCTCCCGTGTCCCTTTGTGATTCATACTGTTGGACCTCAACTCAATCGAGGGGAGACCCCAAGTGAGAAGGAAATATCACAGCTCCAATTTTGTTACAGGTCCGTTCTCAATGAAACCGAGCGCTTGCCTAGCGACGAAGATGGCCGGAAGGCGGTTGCCCTGTGTTGCATTTCAACCGGTCTGTTCGCCTTCCCTGCAGATCAAGCGGCCGAAATCGCTGTGAAAGAGGTCAATGCATGGCTCGAAGAGCACCAGGAGACGTCAATAACAGACGTGATATTCAACGTCTTCACTGAATCTGACCACGAGATCTACAAGAGCATCTTTGCCAAGCTCGGCAATGTCGAGCCACAGAACCCAGGCATGCTATTGCCCTCTATTCAATCGGATTCGCTTTCCATCGCTCGCCAGTGGTTGAACTCGGCGGATGCTGTGCTTGTCACGGCAGGGGCAGGCATTTCCGCTGCCGATGGCCTCGACTACACATCAACAACTCTCTTTGCCAAACACTTCCCTGGGTTTCTCAAGTACGGCCTGCGCAGACTCTACGACGTCTTTGGGTTCACTGAGTGGCCGTCCGAAAAGGACCGCTGGGGCTACTACTTCACCCACCTCAACATGGTGCGGAACTGGCCGGCGTCTCCCATGTACGATTCCCTGATCACCTGGCTCGCCCGGTTCGGCGACAACGCCCATGTGAGGACGTCCAACGCCGATGGGCTGTTCTTGGCAAACGGCCTGCCCGAGGAGAGGCTCTCCACGCCACAGGGGGCCTACGCCGTGCTTCAGTGTATGGACAACTGCAGACCCGAGGCCACAGTACCTTCGCTGCCCTTGTTGAAAGAAGCAGTGAAGTTTCTAGATCCTGTAACCCAGAGGCTGAATAACACAGATAAGATCCCCATCTGCCAGTTCTGCGGGGGCAAGATGTTCATCTGCGTGCGGGCGAGTTCCAAGTTCAACGAGGGGCCCTTTGCGAAAGGAGAGGCCCAGTGGCGAAGCTTCCGTAGGCGAGTCATGGAAGACGAGACAAAATCCGTAGTGATACTCGAGCTGGGCGCGGGAATGAACACACCAGGCGTGCTGCGCTGGCCAGATGAGAAGCTGGCAGAGCGGTCGGGGGGCCGGGTGAAGCTGGTTCGTGTTGGGATGGGCCTGGACGCATCTGTTTCTGGAGAGCTGGAGGCAGCTGGTGCGGGCGTGGCTATCGATGGTGACATCAAGCTCGCCCTATCTTTCCTGTTACAGGGCCAGTCGTCGATGAGTGTCTCCTGATTCAATTGGATGGTGGTGGACCCCCGAACAACGTCATGATCTGTCCGACGCTTTTCGGACGCGACCCCGAAACTCACCTCCGGACTTGTGTTGCATCGTGGGTTTACCGGAGTTAAAGACTAATGATTATAAGTGAACGAGATATTTAGAAATTATAAATATAAGAATATCGAGTAGAGATTTTGACTCAACAATTGATCCTGATCCAATAACCTGCATAACTAAACATCCCACATCCAAGATGGCTGCCCCTACCAAGGCCCAGTTCAAAGCAGGTCACATTACCATCGCTGGAGAGCTTCATGCCCCATCTGAGGGATCGCCTGACCGCAAAGGCGCTGCAGTCGTTGTGAGCCACCCCATGACCGGCGTAAAAGAGCAGACTTCTTCCGACTATGCTCGTTCGCTCTCTAAAGCAGGCTTCTATGCTCTGACCTTTGATGCCGGTTATCAAGGCGAGAGTTCCGGGGAACCCCGTGGTCTCGAGGACCCTAGTCAGAGAGTTGAGGACATCAAGTCTGCCGTCAGCTATCTTGTCAGCATCACCGACAAGATAAACCCCGAAAAAATCGGTGTTCTGGGAATCTGTGCCTCTGGCGGCTATGTCTCGGCCGCAGCACAATCCGATCTTCGAATCCGGGCCCTCGCTACAGTCAGCGCCGCCTGCGTTGGTGCCCTCACACGCAACGGCGGTATCTACGGGCACTTGAAGGAAAACCCGGCCGCCATTGAAGGGGCTTTGAAAGCTGCGGCGGAGTGGCGTAACGCGGAAGCTACTTCTGGTGTTGTTTCAGATGCTCCGGTCATGTTCGACAGCGACCCGAGCAAGTGGACAGAAGACAGCGATGCCTTCTTCAGAGGAGCGGCTGGGTATTATGGTACTTCGCGAGGAAATCACCCACGATGCACGCGAAAGGTGCCGCCTCACAGTTACGACAAGATGGTTACCTATGACTCGTTCCGCTTCCAGTACCTCATCTCCCCCCGACCTCTACTGATGATCGCCGGGAGTGAGGCCGAGTCGCTGCATTTTAGCCAGACTGCCGTCGCTCAGGCGAAGGAACCGAAGGAAGTCTTTGTTATCCAGGGGAAGAACCACTTTGATCTGTACGATGACTTGACTGTGTCTGGGCCAAAGCTTGTAGAGTTCTTTGGGAAGCACTTGAACTAAAGGCGGATAGTATGGAGAGAAGCCTGGAAGAGGGAAAATTTAGTGTGTATACTTGGAAGTCGCTTTATTACATTTCTGATAGAGATTGAACATACCGAAGAACAAAATTGAAGCCATACTCATTGTAACAAATTGTTATTTTCCTTTTATTTATCCCTCTCTCACATGATTTACATTTCGATCTCTTCTTTTAAGATTTTGCCATCGACTTCTTCGCCTATTCAACTTTCTCTCTTGTTTTTGAACTCCATTCTGGGATGATGCTGCGAGACTTCGGTATGTTAGACCTGACATTCGACTGCTCTTCGCTGTATGCTTAGCCGTCTGAGCCTTTCCATGGATCGATCGATTCAATTGAATCCTCGTGCCTTCAAACAGTAAGAATCCTTCAGCCGAATTAAATCATACCTCAATTACACAGTTCTGGACCTGAGAATCTCTCTGAACTGCGCCAGGGCTTCCGAAATCGTAGCCTGGCGGGCCTGATCCCGATCACCCGGAAAATGAAACGGCCCCAAGGTCCAGCTTCTCTCAGGCGACGCAATGCCAATGAAGACCATCCCCACGGGCTTCCCATCCTGCGTCCCGGGACCAGCCACCCCCGTCGTGCCAATCCCCCAGGTGGCCGGATCCTCGATGGCCGTGATGCTGCGCGCACCGGCGGCCATCTGCTGCGCCACGTCGCCGTGGATCACGCCGTGCCGGGAGATGAGGTCCGCGTCAACGTTGAGCAGCTGCTGCTTGAGGGGCGTCGCGTACGAGACGACTCCCCCGCGGAAGACGGCGCTGGCGCCGCCGATGGATGTGAGGGCTGCCATGACGCCTCCGCCGGTGAGGGACTCGGCCACGCCGACGGTCTCGTTTGCTTGCTTGAGGAGGAGGATTACGTCTCCGGCGATGTCGCGGAGTGTCTCGGTGGTGCGCTTGATGTACTGTGGTGGGATGGCCATGGTGGTCGGTGTAGATCAAAGAGCTGCAAGTAGGGGATTATACAGAGTAATGCCCGCGGACTTGAGAATGAGGGAAGTAGATGGCTTCCACTTTTCCGGACTCCGGTTGATGTTCAAGGCTGACCGCATCATTTCTTCTTGTCGCGTTAGGCGCTATGTCATAGTTACGCTCGGTGGTCTTGCGTTGGCCTTTGGTATCATTCGGATTTCGGTTTTCAAGATCCCGGAGTCTCCCAAGTACTTAATTTCCAAGGTTCGTGATGCCGAAGCTGTCGAGGCAGTAAACTACATTGCTCGATACAATGGAAAACCGGAAACCCTGACAATAGAAATGCTCCAGGAGATAGACATGCTCACTGCTACCAATGAAGGCTTGAGACCCCTAACCATCTCTCTCGACTTGTAAGAGGACGAGTTACTGCAGAGAATGGTGTCGCTGGCTGTAAGCTTTCCCAAGTCAGCAAAGGTTGAGATCTTGAGCGGGAGTTTCTAAAAACCGTCAGTATATTATAATGGTCTGAGAGATGGAGGAAAGTTTTAGAACTTACCAGCAGGGGTCGAAAGACCAGTGGCGGTGGGGAGAGGGACAGTGAACTGCTTATCGGCGGTGCTATGAGTTTATATTAGAAACTGGCTCCTTTCTATGTTTTGACATAACCAATAAGATTGTCATAGCCGCAGCTGGAAACTCTGGAAGCGGCAAGGAAATACTGGGACTGCTGCTTGACCAACGAGATGAAATCCCCATCACGGAAGAAGCCGTAATAACAGCCGCTCGGAACCCTAGAGGCAAAGAGATACTAGCAATGCTTCTTGGCAGACAGGGGGACTGGGTTCATATCACAGATACCGTGGTCACAGCTGCGGCTGAGAACTCTGAAAGTGGCAAGGAAATACTAGAAATGCTTCTTCACCACCGGTCCTGACGGCAAGCGAGTCATCGGCATGAAGGTTTGTAGAATTTTCTGCCGTGTGACTGCAGCCTTGGGCTAGCAAAGCTTTTTTCAACCTTTCGTATTCATTGTGTTGAGTTGTTGGGTGTGACTTCTTCTTTTGTTTTAACTTTCTACAAGGCATGGCTTGATTCTCAGAAATAGTGATTTTTGCGAGACTGGTCACAGTTATATATCAGCCAAGAATAGAACAAACACCATCAGTGGGCGAAGGTTTTAGACTTTCTGATATTGAAGCATTTATTGAAAAGGAAGAAAATATGAAAAGCAGGTTCGTTTGATCCTTGCGGTTAAACTTGACGGCCTTGCCAACAAGTCGGATTCGCCCGCCGCAGCATTCTCATGGCATATCTCGCCCATTTTCTTGTATTGTATCCTCGCTTCCACCATGGCCTTGATGAAGGGCGGCCGTATTCCGTCCATGGCTTTTGCGTGGCCGAGGACCCTCTTCCTCATCATGGCCTGATCTGGATGTGGGTAGTCGCATTTGCTATGACCGTGCTCCATGACGAACCAGAAAAGACGGCCTGCGAATGTATTTGTTCGTCAGGCCAGGCTCTCCGTATAGGAGGGCCGCTCTTCCTCCTACTTGCCTATACCATTACATCTTTTCTCGTGTTTAGCATCATCACCGGGTCAACTGAATACAGCTCCTATCTACCGGTCCCGGGCTCTCCTATAGCCTACTTTGGTGACCGGTTCTTTTCCAGGTCCATGGAATTCGCTCTTCCTGCCGTATGACTACATTTTGGGCAGACTAGGAAAGGCTACATTTTTAAGCTTTCGTATCCATTGTGTTGAGTAGGAGGAGTTCAAGCAGTTCGAGTCCGACGATGAGAAGCCGATGGTTATCATTATGCACGGCGTTGCTGGAGGGTCGCACGAAGTGTACTTGAGACATGCCGTTGCGCCTTTGGTTGAAGCAGGCTGGGAGGCTTGTGTGATCAATTCACTTGTCATGTCCACCCAGAACATTTGCCATATTTCTGGAGAACTAGCATGTCTATCAGTAGTTGAGACAGTTTCGGCTTAGATGGAAAGCATACCGCACCAGTTGCAACAATTGCAAGCACTTGTGCAAGACAGCATGGTCCAGCAGAACCGAAACATCCTTGGTTGTCAAATTAATGGCAAAGATTCGCCCGTCGATTGTGTCGGCGCCTAGAACCACGTCTGTTGTCCCAGGAAGCGGCGCCAGACCGTTGATTGTGGCTGTGTCTGGGACCGGCACGCTGAGTCATGTGGACTAATGACATCGATCTGGCCGAGCAGTTGGTTCGGATTATGAATAAGTTGATGAAAAATAGTATGGAAGTGATAAAAGAACCTCGTGATCCCCTGATTGCTTATATATACTGTATTAATATTACTTATTATATCTAGTATTCTTTTATCAGCTGAGGGTATAAATACCAGGACTAAAGGATAGGATATAAATTTTCCAGTATTAATAATATTAGATTCTAAGGGTTTAAGAACTTTAAAGTTGGAGTCCTTAACTATATTTAGTAGCTATATAACTATATAGTATCTAAAGTTATATATAGTTATACTATTAGTATCTAGAGACCGGATAGTTAATAAACTTATCTGCTTATATTATATCAGGCTATTTAAATAGTACTATATTTCTTATAAGTTATATGAAATAGAGATCTTAGATAATAAGTAAGCTTATAATAGGATAGTTATAATAGTTAGCCTAATAATTATCTTAATACCTTAAATAGTTATACTCCTACCTAAAAGTATTATACTATATAAAATATTACTAGCTGATATATAGTATCTGAAAATAGTAGCAATAGCTAAATAGGCAATGGTGGACATGGTGTAGTTGCAAAAAGTGTTAGGTGGTGCGGGGGTAGACATACCGCATTTATCAACATGCATGGCAAAAAGAGCCATGCAAGATATCGAATTGAAAGTACAGCATATACTAGCCCCTCTATGTACCAGCCCTTCCATAACCTAGCCCTTTTATATACTGGACCACTTTTTGTACCAACCCTCGACGCCCTGGCACACCCAGTGTACTGGTATATAGAGGGTCAGAAAACCATCGCTAAGTGCACAAAGTTACATTTCGCAAAAACCTATTCGCGCTGATTGATACCCGTTTCAAAGATCTTTTCATGCTTTGTTTAGCCTTGTAAAATAATATCTTGCTTTAAAATCAGACTTACACAGCTGGAGATAAGAGTTTAGCAGTAACGACAAGTCTTGGCGCACTTAGACCGCATGAGTGAGGCGTGAGTGGGTGAATTGCATTTAGCTCTGTTTTGAGCGCATGTCCCAGATGTATCTTGGCATTTACCGCGGACTCTCAAGTCAGAGCGGCGCCCCAAGTCAGAGCGGCGTCCCCAGTCAGAGCGGCGTTCTATATTGGAGCGGCCTCCCAGATTGGAGGTTGCTGCGAGCACCGCTGTAGAAAGAAGAAGGAGAAGGCTGATACGCATGACAGTTAAAGTATGCCCGATAGTGGTGTTAAGCTGATTGTAATGGAAAATATAGTCTGGATGAAATACAGATATAAGTGTAAGGAAGTAAACACAGTGGCTGAAACTTCATGAAAACTACCCCTATTTATACTCTGGACAGCCGGATCATACCTGCAGCGCGCGGGATGGGCGCCCGCGCGCGAAGGATATATTATTAATGTAACAAAGTAAAACAAGTAGCTGAAATTAACTTTATGAAAATCATCCCTATTAATACTCTAAGCAGCCGGATCATGCCCGCAGCGCGCGGGGTGGGCGCCCGCGCGCGAAGGATGATAGCCGGATCAAGTCTATAGCGATCGCTCGTCACGATGGATGAGATAATGTTTTTGTGAGCTAGGCTACCGTTGGTACCACTATCCAGAACCGAGGCCGCCAACGTCGCTTTCCGCCACATTGGCCCAAGCCACCGCTGTCAGCTTGGACGCCTCGCCATGGGATGGGGTGAACAACTAGACGAAATTTTTGGTAGTCTGAGAGCTAATGCATTCACTTAAACTATCGCCATGTCAAGTCACCTTGTGAGTCAGATGAGCTACCCCATGAATTGAGCTGCAAGGTGGCGGTTCCTTTAGTACTGTTAAGTGTCTTGATGT